CATAGAAAGCGATTAATGATTTAATATTTTTATACATGCTGATTGATAAAATAAAGATATATTAAGAATGAAAATTTCTTATGCAAAAAACAAAATCATTTATAAATAAGAGCATATTTTCATGTACAAATTATAGTTTAAAGTCTCTCGTATATCGGTCAAAATATTTCAAATTTTCAGTTTTTTAATGTGATTTAGTCAAAGCCGAGAAATTTCGACTGATTTTTTTTTCACTCAAAATGTATATTGATGAGGTTTTGGCGGTTAAATAAACGAATATATACTTTGGTTCTTGTTAAAAAAAAGCGTTCTTGCCAGTGAGTGCTAGGAGCCTAGAAAAAATGTATTAAGATATTTTCAAAAATGGTAGCCTCCCCGTTTTTGAATTTCTAGTTATTACATATCAACTAATTTTTTAAAAAATAAAATAATAAGTTTATATATATGTTTCTTAATCACAGTGACGTAACCTCAAGATTATCAGTTGAGATCACCTACGATTCTTTCTGGCGGGCAGTAACAGAAAGAGAGGACCTAAGGTTTGGCATGAACATATTATTTTCTTACCTATAATTTAAGAAAATTACTTGCTTACTATAATTTATAAGAAAATAATATAACGATGAACTAGATTATCGACCTGCTGGATACAAGAAGTCTTTTCAGAGGATCTTCGGAAGAGGTCAAAACAGAGAAAACTTCCTTACGGTTTCGCCGAGCTTTCGACAGTTTTATACTGTCATCTTCAGGGCCTGTTTTATTATCATATAAACAAACAATTAAAACATGAAAAAACAATAATTACAACAATAATTGGATATCTTACTTTAAAACCTTAATAGGAAATTAAACAACATGATGTTTTGGGCACAGAAGTACATTATGTTTTTTCCGGCTCAGCATCTAAATATTGATTTAAATGGAATACATTAACAATTAAAAATTATAGCTGAAATTACAGTAAAAATAAAATTAAAAAACGTGGTCGAGAAAGGTTACCTCATATAAGTCTAAAAAACCAATAAAATCCACCTTTTTTAGTTTTTCAGCTACAAGTGATCACAGTACGTTTTCCAAATATATACATACATATACAATTAACTTATTTTAAAATTTGAATAACAATACAGTAGGATCACAGATCAAATCAATAAAAACCGATAAAAACAAAATCTCTTTGACGAGGGGAAACAAGGGCTACGGGAAACAATCGTTTTTTCCTCCTAGTTAACATAAAATCCGCCACTAGGGCGATGTTCTACTTTCTCTTCTTTGTTTAGAAATCCTGTATTCATTTAGGAAGCCTGCAAAGACCGAAATGGATCCCAACCTATCAGTTTGTAGATTACCTGAAGATAACAGTATAAAACTGTCGAAAGCTCGGCGAAAACCGTAAGGAAGTTTTTTCTGTTTTGACCTCTTCCGAAGATCCTCTGAAAAGACTTCTAGAAAATAATATGTTCATATATATAACTTATTAACATATTACATCCATAACCATATTATTTTGTTACCATGCAAAAACCTAAATTGGATGATATATAATAACCTTACCTTTATAAAATAACCTTTTACCTAGAAATTTTTTTCTTACAAATGACGTCAATTTTTAAAATCACAAAAATATAGATTATTTTGAACCTACTCCGACGATATTATATATGTGTAAGAACTTGAACATTTGGAACAAAAAATTTTCTAGTTAAAAAAAAGTTTTAATTTTCCCTAAAATTTGGATTCGGGGGTGTTTATGGGTGGGTTAATTAAGTTAATTGAACGGACAACATATATGAAAATAAGCAATTGACACAATAACCAGAAACTAAATAAATAATGAATAATGAGAAAAATAAATAATGACAAAACCCAAGTACAGGGCACGTCTGACGAAATGGCCGACCAAACACTGAAAATGGCGATCAATCGCGTGTCAGGCTTTAATGGAAAACCGCCTAACCAATTTTTATGTAGCTCTATTAAAAATCACTCCGTCGTCTTCCTGAGGGTTTGGTGTTTACTAACAACCCCAAATGATAAATCATCTTCCGCCTTCATACTTTGTTAAAAGTGAATAATTACTGTTTAACCCCAACGTCTAACTGGAAAATAACAACGCGCCGGTTGATGAGGGTCGAATGCTATATTTTACCACTATGGGGGGGTTGATGTCGACTCAACAACCTCTTGAAGGAGGCCACATGTACGCAATAAACAATTCGGTGCTTTGTAACCACCGGATAAAAAAAAAGCTAAAAGAAAGACTTATTTTATAGTCATGACTAATTAAAAGTCCGAAAACCCTTTTCTAAAAGTATTTGTTTAGGGTTCAAAGCTGATAGAATTGATAGAGTTTCATGATCACGCTGTTTTCAGTAAGAATTTTAAGTAGATGAGATCTGTGGACATTATCGTATCTTCTGCATTGTATGGTTGATGGTTTTCGCCTAACGATATTCGCAGCGGGTGTTTTTAATACAATCCAATACAAAAGAAACATCGTGTCGTAGAACCAGTGTTGATTGGCTACTAACAGGCGACACAGAATAGGCCATCATTTTTTACGAGAGAATTACAAAAGCACAATAAACGGATCAGCTTTTGAAAAGGACTATTTAGATAACTTCAATTTTTGAAATTTCCGCCTAGATTTGAACGTTTTAAGAATAGTTTTAAAGTAAGTGAATCGTCAGTGTGAAATGTTACAGAATTTCTACAGATCTTTTCTCTCTTTTTAAAAAGATAGTTCCTACTCATTTTCAACGATACAGATTTCGAGCTTATAGCTCATCATCAGGTTGAAGGAGTACTACAACAACGTCTTTCGACATGGATTCCAAGACTAGTCACATCATCAGTTTGAACGAGTTCTACAACCTGATGATAAGCTATAAGCTTGAAATTTGGTTCGTTAAAAAAAACTATCTGCGAGTAGGAACTATCTTTTTAAAAAGATTGAACAACCCACTCACTACACCATTTATCATTTCTATAGATCGCTTCTGTGCACTACAAAAGTAAGTAAAATATATCTCAAATTACTAACTCGAGGCAGGAAAGATAGGACAGAAGCATCAAGGAAAGGCTAACCAACGAATTTCTACAGAGTATTGAAGATTGAGCCAGAGCACCCAAATGAATGGCAAGATAATTTCAGCGCTTAGCTGCACCGCACAAGTTCCATAGAGCCAACTGTCCTGTATGCCCCGACTGTGGGGGTTGATGACAGCATCCAACATAGACTGTTCAACTGTCACGTGTTTGAGAGAGCGACGGAACCTTTAAAGTTCTTTTTCCTTCACACGTGGCAACCGACACTCAAATGACACTCAATGAAGAGCACATTGAGGACGTCAAGCCTGTTACTCGGGTTATAAAAAAGTACCTGACTGGTTTATACATTTTTTTAGTGATTAAGTTACTTGTTGGATTTAAGCTTACACGAACACTTAAATCCGGACTAGTTACTACTTACACCTTATACATATATTAGAAAATGTATATAAAAGGCTTAACCAGCAAGGGAGAGAACTTTACCATAGGAAATAGTTTAGTGACCGTGGTACGCCGGTATGGGGTCTGCTTTAAGTACGGCGGGAAGGTGGATGGGCAAAAAACCTCAAAGTAATTGGGTCATTACATTGTCGTAAAACGTCACAGATTTTGTGATTTTGATTTATCTTCAGCAAGGTCTGTTGACAAATATTTTTCGCAGAAACTATGAAAGTAACTGTTCATATTTATTTGTTATTCATAATTAGCTTACAGATAAAATATATACACATTGGGTGGCCAGTTTGTTATATAATTACAGCAAATTTCAAACTAAATCAAACATTAACACAAAAAAGACAACAATTCGTTAACTTGGAGATCTTTGAATGAAACTTAAAGTAATTGTGACTGAACAATTTGTGAAAAAAGCTACTTTAAATAATAATCAATTCATTATATATATATACACATGAATAATGGTAGACTGATAGGTAGAATGGTATGTAGAAAGGTAGATACATAAGTAAATTGGCAGATGGGTAGGTAGGTAGATAGATGATGGATAGATCATTGGTAGATAGAACGATAGATGAATAGATGGAGAGATATGCAGGTAAATTAAGGTAAGTTATGGTTTTGCGTGTATTAAATTAGTTTTTAAAAAGAACACTATTTATTACACAGCAATGCAATGGCAATCTTCGGTCCATACTTGATGAGAGTCCGGATAGAATTGATTTAAAAAATATTAGTTTTAGCACAGGCTTGGAGATGTAACGAAGAAGGGGGTTTCTTGGAAGTGGACACGTGCGGGTGTGATAACCGAGGAGTGTGAAGGGGTGCAACAAATAAGGGTCGAGCGAGTATGTAAAATATATATATATATAATATATATATATAATATATATATACATATATATATATACCTAACCCTATCATATGACATAAACCTAGTTAAATATACATCCATACCTGTGATGTAATAGTTATTTTGCCAATTTGTTAACATGCAACTCTTTTAAAGTATTTTAAAAATCCAATTTAGTTTCAAAAATAACACGTTATATAAAATATACTATATTACTTATTTTATCCCGAGGTAAGTGCTATAAAAGAAAATGGATTTTTTCATTTATTAAAAAAAATTCCAGTTTCTTTGATAGCACTTAGCTTGGGATAACATAGCCAATAACACGTTACCATTTATGTACCATGTTATTTTTTAATGGAGTTTTGATCAATAAAGCCTTAAGAAAGAAACGACATAGTCTCGAAACGTCAGCATTTTAAGAAAACAAGTGTTTTCTTGTTGACACATTCTTGTTGACCGAAACCCTGATCAGATTAGAAATTCTACGGTCATTACACCTATTATTTATATACTAAAGATTTACGTCAAATTAACCGCTTTTAACTTCCAATGAACCCGTTTTATTTTCCAAATGTAATTTTAATTTCAAATTAATTGATTCATCAAAATAAATCATTTCTTCTGTTTTGTGTTTCAGAACTTCCAGACATGGACCTGAACTTGAACTTGTCAGACGCTAACTTCGACTTTGATGCCGCACTCTTGACAGATGAGGTAAAGGTATTATACAGTTTTGTTTTTAATTGTATAAGTTTTTTCATGTACCAAGTACAAGTACTAGTATAAAGTACAAGTGCTTTAACCATGATGCTGCAATTTCCTTAAATGATTGATTTTCTTACAAATACTGACAGACCACATTTAAAACATAAAATAGATTCCTAATCATGTGTGAAAGGTTGGAACCATGGTTTAGCATTCAATCACAGATATATACGGTTTTTGTTGTTCGTATGTCAGTTATGATTACTAATTTATGTAAGCTCAAAACTGCACACGATTTACGTGTATAGAATTTAGCCTATCACTTGTTTTCGCTCACCAGCAATTCCACCTTTTGAGTAATTTGCAATAAATTACCGATAGACCTCGAGAATCACTAGTCCCGGATGTTCGAACTACGGGGTCAGATCGCGGTCTCAACCGACCAGCCACTGTCAACTAGGTCATTTCAGCACCCAACGCAATTTGTTCCTAAATCCATTCACACTCTCTCTTAATACATTCTTTCCTATTTACATACCATTCGCTCAGTTCGTGTGGTGGAGTACTTGATATTCCTCCATCACCCTCCACACATATTGTATAAATAATCAAATGGAGGGGGTATTCAATGTTACGCCATCGGCCCTTTCACACTACACATTCGCACCGATAAATACATTCACTCTCAACATACACTATATATATTACACAGGGTGGGCGACCAGGACCCGAGGGGTTAAAAGCTTGAGTAGGCTCGTACCCCATCCCTAAAAGGTCCGGGACCTGGTCGGCTCACGAGTCCTGCATAAACCTATTGGACCTATTCACAAACCCCAGGATTGTGGACCATTTTATCCTGGGGAGTGTTTTGGTTATGTCCTCTCCTTCGAAAGTAGTAAATCTTTCCCTAGCATACCTATCGCATTCTGCGATGTAGTGTCGAGCCGTTTCTTCTTTTGTTTCGCAGAAGCGGCNTCTAGCCCATTCCACCAAACTAGGGCTGCAAATAGAAATCTTGGTAGTATGATCGCGGTGTATATCCATTTGGCCACTCATGGTTTAATACCCCATGTTCTACCAACGATTCTCCTACTCTGCACCATGGATATAGTGCCAACATACACTAGTGGACACAAAACAATACGATGTCAATTCTATCAGCAGTACTGTGAATTAAAGCTACCCCACTGCTCTTAACCGGTTAATTAAAGAGCATGGTTTTATTATTGTTCGTATGTACTTTGGATGCTCTTCGTCCAATTAGAACAGTTCCTGTATCTGTTGCATAAATGCTGACATTTTTCCTTGATCTTTTTATCATGCCTTATGGATCTGGAAAAAAAACCACACACGACCTACGCCACCTGTCTAATTAGTTTTTTTACGGAAAAGTCTGTTGCCACATTGACCACATAGCTGTATTACCTTCTGTAGTGTTTAAGAGATAAGGTGGGCTAAGTGAAACTAGAGGGTGACAGGTATAGAACTGGGATTACGTTTTTGCGACGCAGTGGTCCTACTACGTCAGTTGGTTCCGGAGCTTCAACTTGTTAAGACGTTTGTTTAATAAACTGTTTATTTGAACTGTGCTACTACTTCACTTTCATTATTGCTTACTTCCACAATGTAGGTGTAACATATTAAATACCAAGATAATAAGGGTATTCACGATGTTTGCTAGATGTTAAGTCGTGTTAATTCGAATAGAGAAATTCCCAGTCTGATCGTGAACGCCCCCTTCATTTCGTAGCATGTTAAAATTAGTTTTTCCCCAATGCTGCGCGTGGAGATTGGTAGAATCAAAAATAATGCTATAACAGTCCTTGAAAGCTTGTTGTTGTTTGTTATGGTTTTGTTACTAAAAAACGACAATTAATCAACTTTATCATTCAAAATGTTATCTATGCACTCGAAAAGTACTAACAAATGACACGCTTCAATTCGCGCCGACATAACTTGTATCCTAAGGTCTATCAGCCTACAACCTTATAGGATAGGAGATGTGTCTATTATGAATGAGAGTGTAAGGACATGTCAGGCATTAACAAAAGAAATGTATTGGTCTGATTTAATTAACGTGTATTTAAGAATACAAATACATGAAAACAAAAAACAGCTATTAAATTCATGGCTGCCATGTTGGTCACCGACGCCCTTACGGATAGCAATGTGACTAAATTTTCGACCTAACATCTAACAATGGCCCTGGCCTGTTAGAATGAGCAGTGTTAACTAGCCGATTCTTACAAGTCTACGTAATCATTTTTCTCGATCTAACAGGACTTAACAGAGTTAACAGGGTTAATACAAAGATCGTGAATACTGAATGAATGTCATCAACCGTGGTTTTTAATTAAAATACCAGAAAAAATATTTAAAATCTATCTGAAACTGATCAAAATTTCCCATAGATAATAATTACCTAATTTTTCTTTTAAAATTTTTCCAGGAGAGACAATGTCTGACTCAACTTTACATGCCGACCTATGACGAGCCGGCGGAAAATTGTCCTTGGTCCTGGGACGGCGCGTTGTGCTGGCCGTCCTTCCCCCCTGGAAAGAACGCTAGCCTTCCATGCTTCGAAGAACTAAAAGGAATCAAATACGATACATCACGTAAGATTTTTTTTAATTAAAACAAAACCGCTTCGTTAATCGACTCATTAAAAAAAGGAATATTGTCAGTTTGGCCCTGTTTTCGAACGGTTCACACGGCCATCGGACGTTAACCAAACCACAAATCGATAAATGTCCCACTCGACCGCGAAGTAAATTGCTACAGGGGAAATCGCACGACCCCCCCCCTTTTCAGCAGTTTGTAAACAAGTAATGCAGATGCAAAGTGACAGCCGTGTCCTCGGTAAAACGGCCGATTTGGCCCTGTACCAGCTGCGCTTCCCAAGGAAACACATTGAATAAATCGTATTTTCAAAAATTTCCATGTAAAAAAAAATAATGATAAAAAATAACGTTGTAATTTCGTTAAAATAAACTCCACTTAAAAATGTTTTAAAAGGCTGTTGAAGGAAAAATATATAAAAATAAGTAGGAAAACGTCTCCCAATAACACAACTATTTGTTCTACTTAATTAATCCAAATATACGTTAAAAAAATACTCTGGATATTTCTAAATAAATTTGGTTAGGGTAAAAGAAGATATAAAAGCATAATAAGGTAAAGGAGCCAGGACCGGCGGGATTGAATGAGGGGTGCAATATAGCGTGGGGAAATTTGGGAGATGTGTGATTTCCAGAGAAGGTTTTGGTCAAAGGTAACCCCGAGGTTTTAACAGTGGAGCAGAAGGAAATAGGCTGGTTTTTTTATGGTTAAAGGAAGGATGGAGTGGTGAGATTTGAGGAGGTGACTGAATCCTACTATATAACAATGGTTTTGGACTTTCTAGCATTTAACTATAGGTTGTTTTTATATGCCCATTCGTTTATGGAGATCTTCCCGACTGCTTCAGATAGCCAAATGTACATCGGAGGGAAAAGGCTTGGAAGGATAAGGAGGGAAAATTCAAAATATGGGGTTGAGATGGGAAGTGTCCGACTGGATGGAAGTCACGATAGCTCAAGTGGTAGAGCAGCGGCGTATTTACCCGAAGGTCGTGGGTTCGAATCCCGCTCGTGACACTGACTTTTTTATCTAAACTAAAACCCTTAATTAATTGAAAGATATTAATTGGACAAGCGGACCACGAAAATTAGTGAATTTTCTACAATGGAAGACAACTCGAGCTACATGCGGTCGATTTCAATGGGGACAAACTTGTCCCCAATAAATGCGCCGAATGGAATCACAGCTTCCGGTTGAATTTGCTCAATGTACCTTAGTGAAGTCAGATATCCATTCTGTATGATAATCAGTTTGTTACGGACATGGTCTTTGATTCAACCCCATATCATAACTTTGAAAAGACCGTTATGAAAACAAAGTTGGCTCTGAAAAGGGTGAAATTGAACAAACTTTTTTATAATCTAAATAGTGTAAAAGTTTTAGTAACAATATAAAAGTAAACAACAGGGGGCGTCGATGGCCACAACGGTTTAGGTGTTGACTTGGCGCTGATCGCTGGAAGGTAAAAGTCCCTGGTTCGAATCCAGCGACACAGCATTCGAACCCGACATACTTACAAATGGGCTTTTTTTTCAAAAACACCGGCACCCCGAGGATTCATATTTCCTCGTAGTTAAAATCCCCTCGTCAAAAAATTGAAAAAGTAAACAACAGGGGGCATCGACGGCTACAACGGTTTAGGTTTTGACTTGGCGCTCATCGCTGGAAAGTAAAGGTCCCTGGTTCGAATCCAGCGACACTGCATTCGAACCCGACATACTTACAAACGGGCTTTTTTCAAAAACACCGGCACCCCAAGGGTTCATATAACCTCGTGGTTGAAATCCCCTCGTAAAAAATTTAACGAGTTATTAGTGTTGCGTTTCCGCTTTACGTATATAGTACATAGTAACTTCCTTCAATTAGGTAGCAAATATCTGTGAGAAGAAAATGAAAAAAGTAAAATTATGAACAATGTGAAGAACTTTCTTTTGGCAGTACTCCAACGATACAACTATGTTGTCTATTTTCTTAGAACTAGTGCCACTATCCTGTCACTCTCACCGGATACGGGAGAAATCTCATTTATTGCTCTTGCTTGCTGCGGTATTTTTCGTTTTTCAAAATCTCGCTGAAATTTCGAAATATTACGAACGTTTGAAACGTAGGAACACACTTGAAATATTTATTAAAAAAATTAAACAAGTCTACCTTATAATAAGAGTGGTGGGATCAGGACAGTTGTTTTAGACCTTGTGAGAAGAAATAAAAAATAAACCACAGCAAAAAAAACAAAACAAATAAACACCTTTTTTCTATTTTTTGAAAATAAAAATAAATAATACAGAATAAATTCCTTTTCGAAAATTAAAAATAAATAATACAAAATAAATACCTTTTCTATATTTAAAATGAATAACACCGATTAAAACCTTTCTAAAAATTAAAAATTAATAATACTAAATCAATACTTTTTCTTTAATTAAAATTAATGACATTGAGCCGGCAATAATAAAAAAAATCAATTGACATAAATAAAATAATAAAAATAAAATGTTCTTGGGACAAGTGATTACCCTGCCAGTGCAGCTTGATGAAAAGTCCGAAGGTAAATAGCTGTCGAACTCAATCGAAGACGGTTGCCCAGTCCGATGGGCCAGAAAGATCTCCTCTGTCCAGAAAAAAGGCGTTGAATCTAGAAATATATATTTTGTCGTCCCCGGGGAAAAAGGCGAGAGCGCAAAATCGCAAAGGCGAGAAACAACCTGTCAGGACGCCATGCGTTCCTCGTCTGCCGGAGCCGCCGCGCGTCAAGCGAATTCTGGTGCACTCGCCCTCCAATTTGAAAATTGTTATAACCTACATAACTTCGGGGAATTTTTTTGCATTTAAAATATACCGAATCGTTTGAGTTTTAACAAAAATAAGTCTATCTTTCCACTTTTAATAGTTTTTTTTTTGCAGTAGTAAGTAACAAAATTGCTGTACCATTAGTGTTATTTATGGAGAGAAATTCGTCTTGGGGCGTGGCCATCGTAAATTTTATCGAATCCTCCAAGCTATTTTCAACCGTTTCCCAAAGACTATTGATATTGCACTGCCATTTCAATAAAAGGGCTATTTTTCATACGGCAAAACGAATAGGAGGGTTCGGAAATTGCCGAGCGCATCCAGCATGATCCTGTTCTGATCATCTCGATGGAGGATTTGGGCATCCCTAACGCGCCGTTCGCGAGAATTTGGCTCGGTCGTTTGTGTGTACATCGTTTATTCCAAGCCGTATCTCTTAATCTTGACATTACAGGAAAGAATTGCGGGGTGAACGATTTCGAGGCTTTTTTGCCCCGTGTGTATTTGCCCAATGGAATCTCCAGACATTTCAACGATCAATTCTGTATTTACGGAAGACATTTTCATATCCAATACATTCGACCTTGATAGAATTTCCCTATTCTCATTTATACTAGTTTTTCAGCTCATAAAGTTTAAGCCATCATCATAGTTAAATTGTGTACATCCATTAGCCATGTCACACACTAATTATTAAACTGTAAATATTCAAAAAGACAATGTAAGTTCCAGTGATACAGCGTAAAATCTTTTCCATATTCAGTGAAAAATCTTACTTCTCCAGAGTTTCTTAGGATTTCATTATCCGAGTAGCAACGAAAGCACCTGGGAGTAATAGTTATGTGAATTCCTTCCGTATATTTAACAAAACCGAGATTGAAGCTGGAATTCTCTCCGAGGGTCTCCCCTACATGCACACTTGTCATTATTTTTCATTCAACTCTATCTCTTTACTTTTTATTACATTAATAAATTATTGCTTTAAAAAAGAATAAAGTTGTGCGAAATATTTAAAAAAATAAAAATACAACATATACTTTTAAGATAATATCGACTAGTAGACAAATGTGTTTTGGCAAATGTGCTGCTTTTTAAAAACTAAGTCTATTACTAATATCATTTACAAATGACTATCAACTAAAACGTTAAATTGCTTAGAGAAATTACAGTTATTCCACAATTTTAGGTTTAGTAAACAGTAAAAATAAATACGAGAAACTAGTTTAAAATGGAAGGTTAAGAACACCTAATAAAAAACCTCTGGTCATTTTGATGAGAAAAATCAATTATTTTTATTATTATTAACTACTATCTACGTTCCCTTCTCATTTTACCTTCTTTCCTTATCATTCGCTCTCCCTCGTTATTTTATTTTACTATATTATTTTATTTATTCTATATCTATCGATCTTTCTATCTATCAATCTATATTTATTCTATTTTTGTTATGTTCTATTTATTCTCAAGCGTTTCAATTCAGTTCTTCAATGCTGTGACGTTGTCTCGTTCTGTTTCAATCTCTCTCTTTTTTCTCTAACACACACACACTCTCTCTCTCTCTCATTATTTTATTTTATTATATTATTCCATATCTATATTTATTCTATATCTATCAATCTTTCTATATATCAATCTATATTTATTTTATTCTCGGTATGTTTTACTTATTCTCAAGCCTTTCAATTCAGTTCTTCAATGCTGTGCGTTGTCTTGTTTTATATGAATCGATCTCTTCTCTCTCTCTCTTTCTCTCTCTCTCTCTCTCCTGGGACGTCTCGTTCTATTTCAATCTCTCTCTTGTCCCTCTTTCTCTCTCCCGTTTTCTTTCTTTTTATCTCTCTCTCTCTCTCTCTCTGTATTTGTTTGCTGAGTCTGTTTCGTTGTTTTTTCATTTTTCTTTCTATCCCACTCTCTCTCTCTCTCTCTCTCTCTCTCTCTCTCTCTCATCTTCCGACCTCTCCCATTCACACAGTTCACTCATTCTATTTTTTTAATTGCCTCTCTACTCATTCTCTCAAGGTTTTAATAGCTTCCTCTTTTTTCAAAATATTTCATTCTATCGTATTTTCCTTGCAATTATATAAACTCCTCTCACATGTCTAACTATGACTCTTTCGCAAACCCTTTCTCAACGAAACGTTCAGTTAAGTCAATAAAACATTTTCTGAATTAAACTTTTTTAAATGTTGGTAGAGAAAAATCTTCC